TGTGTGTGTGTGTGTGTGTGTGTGTGTGTGTGTGTGTGTGTGTGTGTGTAAAATGAGCTCATCCTCTCCCCCCTATGTGGTTATCTGTATAAGGCTGAGGCTGTTTAGCAGCAGGGAGAGTCATTGAGAGGACACACACACACAGACTCACACAGTTCACAGCGGCTAGCATGTTTTGGATGTTTCTCCACCTGACAAAAATGTGTGCTCGCTTGGATGAAGCTCCAGGTGTTTGTGCATCACATTGGTTTCAAGACAACATAAAAAGACATAATGTTTAAGAAGAAATTCAAATTAAACCTCCTTTTAAATTAAGAAATGGACCTGTGAATACTGACAAAAAATACATACATTAGTTTATATAACGCACCAATTACTATGTTAAAAGAATAATGACACAGGTTTAAGAAAAAGCCGTCCATATTCAATACCATAGACAGCTTTTCTTTGTGGCAGTTGTGAGAACATCAGCATCGTCGCTCATTTATAAGATGATGTCACTATATTTTTGTTTGCGCCCGTGAATGGCGCTATAGGAGACGAAGTAAGGGCCTCTCTTTCACTTCAGGTTTTGTTGAGAGAAAGTTGAAGAGGCCCTTATATAGGTCATGCAATGTGGCGCATCTTAATGCCTAGAGTTATTCCAACGTCATGTTTACAGCACAGGGCTTCTTCTCCAAGTCAACCTGATCAATTCAGTTGGACATTTAGTCTGGTCTAATTTGACTGAATCACTGTGTCCACTCAGCTGTTAAAAACCAGTATGTACAGCACTTCCTCCCTTCCATACATACCACCGAGGTCATGCATGTATGCATGTACTAGTGCATGCTTTTGCCATTGCCTCCGTGACCATCGGTATGTGTATGTACAGTATGCTCAGAGCATGTGGGTGTTCGGACCCTGTGTGTGTGTGTGTGTGTGTGTGTGTGGTCTCGGGGCTATGGAGAGCACTAACACAGTTGACAGCGGGCCATCGAGATTTAGGGCGAGGTGCCAAGGAAATACATGTGCGCGCACACACACAAACACACAGGCATCTCGTCCTCTGATCTCGGGGGGCATCTGCTCTGGTCCGGGTCACTGTGCAGTGAGCGCTCGGATCGGCCTCAAAACTATCACCACGGCAACCGCATCGCATAATTCCGTTCCATCTCGTGCCGTCCACAAACCGTGTGCGACGTGATTGGCCTGCTCCCCCCTGGGGCAGCGAGGCGGCGGCTCAGGCGCTGTCTGCTTCCTCGCTGTGTCAGCTCTGGCTCCGAGTCTGTGGGCGGGGAGCGAGTAGCGCATTAAAGGAACGTTTGGCGCATTTTGGCAAGAGACGGTGTGAATTATGCAGACGGATCCCCACTGTGAGTGTGTGTGTGTGTGTGTGTGTGCGCAGTGCTGCCTGCGAGTCCTTCACGAGGAACAGTGTAGGGAATATAAGCTACTCCAGGGTAGGCAGACAATATCCCCCTTTTTTTAAATTTGGTTTCTCTGTCTCACTTGAGCCAGTCCATTTTTCTCCCCTCTTTCTGTTTTCAAGATGTGTTTACACACCAGAAGACAGTGGCGCATATATTATTTTTTACTTTCTATAATAAAGTAAAAGGTCAGTGGATGAAACCAGTTTAAATGAACACACGCCGTAGAAATGGGCATATCTGAAGATCTCTAGAAGTGTAATTTCTCTGAATGGGCTGTTAAAACAGTTTTGTCTGTGGTGAGCCATCATCCGACATCTTAAGTGATTTGTTGTTACCTGCTCAACACTTGCATGCGGACGTAGATTGAGAAGCAAAGATGAGAAGAATCACGAAAATAACCACGAATAGTACGAGCAGCTCTGAATAATTAAAAAATCTTCTGCCTTCATCTGTCTTCCCTTCATTCCTCCACTCATCTCTGACCAACTTAAGCTTTAATCTATCCCTCCCTTTCTCATTCACATGACAACGTAAGCTGGCTTTGAATTGAGTTGTCTACCTTCACTTTTCTTTCTCTCTCCTCACCCTTCTCTCTCTCTCTCTCACTCACACACACACACACACACACACACACACACACACACACAAACACACACCCTCTACCTCCACCACCATCTCTTTGTTTTGCTGAAGAATACAAACCGTCTGAATTAAAACACAACTGACAGTTTGCATCCAGTTTCGTTGCTCCTCCTCTGTCCTCCTCCCACGATTCCTCCCTCACTTACACCCCTTCCTCCCATCCCTCCCTCCCTCTCTTGCTCCAGCTGTCAGGAGGCTTCATTATTAAAGATTCATGGCGGAGTCTGGGCAGCTCCCAAAAGCTTTTGTCAGACAGACAGAGTGTCTCAAATCTCACAGCCACTAACTGGAGGTGACATAAAGACTCTCATAGATCCACAGGCACACACAGTCCAACACACACTCCCTCTCATTGTGGTTCGCTTCACTGTTTTCCGACTTGTCCAGCCCCATTTAATTCAAATCATCTTGAAAAAGGGATTATTAGTGCTACTTTAATAAGTCATAGTAATATACCATATCAGTGATTCCTCTCTTGCCAATGGCCTCTTCACGCCGAGCCAAACTGTAATATGAATGTTGTAAATATTACATTACGTCACATTATGTTATGAATGCCCTGTTTTGACTTGGTTGTGTTTGTCATCAGAAGTTTTGTCTCTGCTGTCTTCTGTCATGTTTTGCTGATGTTACTAGTACTACGGCTGTTTGTTCTTAGTTTATTGGAGCATAGCTGTTGTTCCTCCCTCGTCCCATCTCCTTCAACTCGTTTTTGTACGATGTCCATTCAAGAAAAACATGTCACCAATCAGTCGCCCATCTGTTAAAGTTCTTCTCGGCTCGCAGGCGTTCACACTTACAACACAGCAAAACACTACAAAGTACTTCTAGGGTCTCATGTGATGGATGATCACATCATATGACGATGAAAGCCACCGCCTACTATTTAAGAAACATTAAGTTGTGAGAGACGAGCATTTATATAAATTCAACAATGTCTCAGGAGATCAGTAATCTCAATTGTAGACATAACTAATGATTTTCATCTTAAAACAAAAGTCAGAAAAGAATCCCTGCAATACCTCTCTGTTTGATATACAGGACATTCCGAACCACATTTGCATCATGGGAATTACCTTGAGTACGTTTCTCTCACGGACGTTTCAGGAGGGAATAGCTCGCATACCAACAGGGAAAAGCAGACATGTCTCTCTCTGTAGTCGGACACTTTCACAGGGAGGTAACATTGTGTCCCGAGTACTTGCTACTTGATGTGTAACCAGCTGTCCTTGTGCCTCGTGAAACTGTAAACAGTACATTTCAGAGTGATGTCTTTTGGCTCATTTCTTCTTCGTACAGATAATAGCAAATCCAGTCAACCTCTCCCGATTGATATTGCTTCTTAGGTGTGTTTTATATTTGTTAAAGAATGCTGGCTGTCCTTGAAGACATTTATTAATTAATTTTTCTGATTTTCAGCCCAACCAAGCCATTATATCTTCATTAATAGCTTAGGAAAATAAGATTAAAGCACCTTGACTTTTGAGGAGCAAGTTTCATTTCAAAAGCGTCTAGTTTTACTGTTATTGGATGTTTCAATTGGAATATTTCAGCTTTAGAGAATTATAGTAACGTTCCCATTTTACATGCACGCACATGGTCGCATGGGGAAGCCTGTAATTGTAGCCTTCGAGACATCAGTGTGTTGGTTTTATGCTCGCTGTCTTTTTTTACTGTCTTTTTTTCTCTCCTTTTTAAATCAAAATCATTTTGCTGGAATTGTGCAAACTGTTAATCTCCTCCTCTATCTTTTTCTTTTTCTTTGTTTCTACAGGAAAGCCCAGGAACAGCAGAAAAAAGTGGTCGTAGCAGGCTGTGTTCCCCAGGCTCAGCCGCGGATGGACTACCTCAAAGGACTCAGCATCATCGGGGTGCGTGCGGGCGTGTGTGCGGGCGTGTGTGCGGGCGTGTGTGCGGGCGTGTGCTTTGACTTACGTATATCAAAGTGATAATCAACCTAGGAATGTGTCCATACAGCATATACCATATGTCTGCGTGTCGTTTTCTTCATTTGTGTCTAATGGACAACCTTTAGACACAAACATATACACACACACACACACACACCCACCCACCCCCAGAGAGAGAGATATACAGACGGTGTGACCTGTCATTCACCTGGCTGCTAACCTGCTGTCGGTTCTATCCTGGCCTCCCTGCCGTTTGGTCGATCAATAGACCTCCCTGAGAGACACAAGACTTCTGAGATGAACATGGTGGGAAGTAGGAGAGAAGGAAGAATGTATGATGTAAGGAGAGAGAGGTTTAAGGATCCACATACAAACGTTTGTGTCTTTGTTGGCTGTCTTGTCCTCCACATGCAGAACCTTTTCAATACCAGAGTGGAAAGATCATGGGGAGATTTCATATGTGGAGAAAGACGGAGGTAGGAAGGGACAAGTGAATGATGTGAAGGCCTCATGGCTTTGAGCCCTCGGCATGAACATGCATATGTAACATAACATTCAGTTAATCAGGCGAGTCAGAAATATGCAGATATAACTCTCACAATCACTCATAACCCTGTGGTGCAGGTATGAATAGATTGTGTGGCAAACTGTGATATGGAATAGTTATTTAATTGTTTCACCTCATTAATCACAGGAGGGAACTAAAACGACGAGTCATGGTTACCACTATTTAACAGCAACATGAGTGTTCCTCAGTAAATCATTCTAATTAGACTGTACTTTTCTATCTGCTGCCACTTTCCAGGATCTTGCAAAATCCTCTTGAGTCTGAAGTCTAATACCTGCAACACTTAAACATAAAAAAACAACAACAATGTGAAATTGTTAAAATATGCCTATTTAGTTATTAAGCAATGTAATGCAAACATGTCTGTACCACACAGAAAGTGAACAGCTGGTTAATTGAGATGTATCATACACGCATGCATTCTCTTGATCACTCCATGCTCTGCCTGCTAAATCCCCACAGAAAACCATGATCATAATTTCACATGATGCAGAATTTATATGCTTGTGTAAAAAAACAACTGACTTGTTTCAAACTGTGATAAATCAAAAGCTTGAATATCAAATGTTGATTACTGCCACCGTCTTAAAAAAAGAATTTGGGGGGGGGGGTGTTAAATACACTTTACTATAAATATTGTAATTCTATTTAAGTAAACATGCCCCCGTGTAACATAATTACATTCAAATCAAGTGGCATGTATGTATAATATAATTACATTCAGATAAACAGGCTTGTATATGTAATAGCCTTCAGGGCGCGGCTGAAACATCTGGGAAGTTTACCACTGTCGGCCCTTTCATTGTCATGAGTAGATTGGATTATGCATTGATACACACACACACACACACACACACACACACACACACTCACTGATGGACGCATGCATGAACAGGCACACATGGTAACAAACACAGGAGGTATACGATTATGCACACACTCTCCTTGTGTATCCTTCGTTGTTACAATCCAGCACACAATGACGGTGACAGTTGGTGGGTTATGCAAAATAGATGCAAATAACCAGCCGTGAATTTGTATATCGTGATTGCACTATATACAAACGGCTCGATAAGGGCTGTAGTTAAAAAATAAAAGTGCTTTCTGTTGAATTCATTCAGTTCAATTGACCCGTGTGCCATCTTTTGTGTTTCTGCTCTGTGTTCCTGTGTGAGGCTGCTGTGACAGGAGTGAGTGTATTGTGTGTGTGTGTGTGTGTGTGTGTGTGTGTGTGTGTGTGTGTGTGTGTGTGTGTGTGTGTGTGTGTGTGTGTGTGTG